CCCCCCCCCCCCCGCGCTCTCATTTAATAAACACCGTGCTTGCTTGACTTGGAAGTCGGTTTCCTCCTCGTTCGGGTGTGACGAGCAGCTGAACGGTGTCACCGTTAACGGGGGGCGGTTGCTCTGTTGTGACAATATCCGTTTGATGCAGGAGTGGTAGTCCTCTCGGCTGCCATGTTCTCCCCTTCTGCTCTTTTACTTTCTTGTTCCCGCTCTGTCTGGATCTCACCGCTGTCACGGCCTCGGGAGAAGCCAACTGGCGTGACCTGAAAGTGTGACGGGTGACGCGCAAGCTGCCATTTTTTTTTTCTCTCCGTTGATGGCCACCCAATGCGCATGCATACATACATACAGAGAAATGCGGTTATTTTCCGAGATTAAAGAACTTTAATTGGCCCTCGCTCGTGTCTGAACTGGTTTCCCAGGATGCAGCAGAGGGTGCCAGTGATGTATAAAAGATGCTATGTGCATGTGTGTCCCTCATTGACATATAATTGTGTGTTTTCATCAAGCTTATGGCACATAAATCTGCCATATGTCCATGAGTTTACCGCTGACTGTAGTTTTCAAACTCAAACAACCAGCATCATACTATTGTTTCACTTAGACACGCAAACAAAAACAGACTCCAGAACAGCTTTCATCACAGGTAGCCTTTTTGACTGTATCAGCCCCGTTTAAAGTCTAAACATGGTTTTCCAGAAGATATGACTCGTATGGTAATAGGTGCAATTACACTGTAATGTTTTTCAGTATCAAACATAATTGCAACTTGTATATAGAAAGAAAAACACAAGGTGCAGTAGCAGACAGGAAGACATTCTGCTAGAGGAAGAGGATTTTGTTAGGAAGTGCCATTAAAATTAATCAAAAGATTCACTCCATGACTCACTCCACCGCTCCTCTCGCTGGGATCTGGAGATACAGAAGAGGAAAGTGCCAGCAGCCGTGTATGGGATCGGAAAAAGAAAACCACTCAGGGCGTCTTTGTCCTCTGTTTAAACAGTACCGCAGAGGAGGGGGGGGGGGCTAGGAGAAGAAGGGATAAGAGAGAAGAGGTTTCTCACAGCTGCCCAGCCTTAGGCCCAAAATATGTGGCGCTCTTCTCGTCGGCGCGTCACCAGCCATCCGTCCTCGCCTGTCATTATTATACCTCTCAGAGCGTGCACACACACACACACACACGCCGTCTCTCAGACACACATATGCACACTTACACCACCGCACACTGTCTGTGCCATCTTGATCTACTCTTAAATGCTGCCAGCATCAGATCCTCAAACATGGCCAACTTAAACGGAATGGAACACAGACGTCGGTTTAAACAGGAAGGCAATCCTGGCGCTCCAGAATATGAGAACAAGTAACACCGAGGAAGGGAATATTAAAAAGCCTTGATGTAGTGGCTAAATGGTTCAAATAGCCGATGTGTTTTGACAACTGTAGGTCGAATATTTCCATCCTCGTTATCACTTGTTCTCATATTTTGGAGTACCTTTTTTCCTACTCACCATCTGGGGAGCGTCAACACATCCACAGCGAGAAGCGCCGCATTGTTTGGTCGCTTCAAGTAGGTCTTTGCCATTTGGGAGTTGTCGCACCAGTTTTTGTTAAAAGCAGTATTTGTTTTGTTTTGAATCGGATCGCTTTGATCCGTGTATCGCTTGTTGAGCCGATGTGGATTTGTGCTGTGATTTCATGAAGAGTTGAACTTTGAAGTTTTGACAGATAACCAGAGTTGCATGCCTTTGAAGGTGGTCTTTCTCTAACCTCAACCAAGTGACTTAGTTGCCTAGTTCAGTTGGCAGGATAGAAAACGCTCACGAGTCCTCCTTGGAGTGGTCCCAAGGGATTGCCTTGAACGGCACAGATCAACCACCCGTCTCACCGACGAGATATAGCAACTCGCTGTCGGCGCGGAGCTCTGCAAAAGGTCTGCGCGGTGGGTCCACATCGACCCTCCACGCTGCGCTCCTGTCCAAACGCTGAACTCTGCAGAGGCCTCCACAAATGTCACAGTCGAGTTCAGTTTGCATTAGCAGCGGTGTCACGAGGCAGAGGAGCCTCTGCAAACATTGTGCTGCTTTCACGTTTGCCATTAAACCCCCGGGCCTCGAACACTGC